TGGCTGCTGGAGCCCAGATACCGATCTCAGAAGCAGCACCCTTCCCACACCTCCACCCTGGCTCTCAGCAGCTTCCTTTCTCTGAAGGTTTTGCAAGTTGTCAGAGGGCTCCACTGCTCAACGAATTTCAAAAAGAGACAAGAAAAGAAAAGAAAACCAACTCGGGTGATTAGCAGGTGCAACGGAAGCCTCATTTGACATTTTCAGAATGATCGGGGCTCGCTCTCTTCTTCCATCGCGATGGGAAAACACAGTTCAGGTCCAGATGCTGGCTGGCATGACCTTGGAAAGCCCACAGACCCTCTACTGCTCCTTGTTTTCTTTCGCCGTCTCTTCGCAGTTGTCTTGTTCATCCTCCTGGACCAAGAACTCCTCGGGAGGCCACCGGAGCTCCCCACTTTCCACCTCCCCCTCTGTGGGCTCCACGACTATGGAGGGCAGGCGATCCTTCAGCTTGCAGCAGCGGTCGAAGTCTGATGGGTCAGGGAAGATCTGAAATAAAAGCAGAGCAGCCACCTGGTCACACACATATTTGCAGAGAACTCCGTTCCTTCCTTTCACGCACACGTGGCACATGGAGCCTGGACACCTGCCAGGGACTGAGCAATGTCTGCGGGACACTGGGGGGACGTGCGGCAGGAGCCAGGGGTGTAAGATCTGGAAGAAACCTGTCCCTCAGCCAGACTCTGCTGAAAGTTTGGGGACAAGCGCACTGACTCCAAAAGGTTGGTGTAACTCTGTGTGTACACTTTGTTTTATTAACCAAAGAAAAGAAGCATGCTGTCGCAGCAAGCCATCTTTTTGCAGCAAGCACTTTATACCTGCAGTCCAAAGCGTACAACAGGTACCAAAACATAAAGTTCCTGCCAGAATAGTTACTGGCACCTAGTAGAATCAGGTCCTTTACATATGTCATTTCAAACCAACAAGGCAAAAACAGGTACTTTTAGTGCTATCTTTAAGAATCCTGGGCTTGGGTGAGTAAGTTGTTCGAGACCATACAACCTGAAAATAAAAGAATCTTAAACCCAGGTCTGTTTAACTCCCTTGCCCATGCCCCAATTCCACCCTGTCTTGATGGGGTCTTGATCCTGTTGCAGCTATCAAGTCAAAGCCAAATCCGGATTGAGGGCACTTAAGAACTTAATCCACTAGGCTGCTGGTCCCTTGCCATTCACAGCTCCTGGTGACACACCCAAGGACCAGAGAGAAGAGCCTTGGTCTGGGAAGCTGGGGCTCACCAACTCTCAGACACTTTGGCACCCTGGAGGCCATCTCCTCCCACCCCTCCAAGTGACAGACAAGAAAGCCAAGACCAGAAGGTTCATGGGACTCATTCAAGGTCAGAAAGCGTGTTCACAGCAAGAGGACATGTGGAGTGATTGGAGACACACACCAGAAAAGATCCCCAGAAGCGCCCGCTCCCGCAGCTTGAGACAGGTGTCCTCTTCCCAGAGGTAGAAGAAATGCTCAGGCCCTCCCAACTTCTGCGAAGTCCTAAGACACATGTCTTACTGTACCCCAACCCCAAGTCACACTCTGACCGTGTCACAGGCCATGTGGGGCTTCAAGCTGCCTCCTCAGTCCCTGCAGACCACTGATTATCAACCATTTATCCAATAAAGGCCTATTGCTGGGGATTAAGCCTTAAGCCAGCTGCACAACCAGGCATCATTAAAGACTTAACAAGGCTCATAAAAAAGTATCATAATAGTAGCAAAAGGAAAACAAATCAGAGGAGGGGTCAGGCCTGGGCCTGTCAAAAGGGGTCCAGGGAAACTGACCACAATTCTGGGCTTTCTCCTGCTGCATGGCCAGACTGAAACTCTGCCCTTGGCTGCACCATTCACAGAGACTGCAAGGTGGCAAGCAGAGAGTCAGTCAAGGAAGCCATTTGGGTCATTCCTCACTTCTGTGGAGCTGAGGCACTCTTGCTAGAGAGTGAGGACACAGGTGCCTTCCTAGCTCAAGCTCGGAGAGTGAGCCAGGGGAGCCCCAGTGAGTGGGAAAGACATTAGTTTACAGGCCTTCACTGCCACTCAGAAGCCCTAAGACCCTAGACCAGTGGTGGTGAAATATGACTTGAAGGTGGTTTCTAACCACTGAAAGCTCTAAAAGGTTTACCATCATGGTCCTAGACTCTGGATCAGGATTCCAACCTTGATCTGCTGTTTTTCAGTGCTTATGCCTTTTGAGAACTGAGATGGGATGCCATGGGGTCCATATCTTTGATTCACAGATGGGAAACTGATCAGGAAGGGTGAGCAGGATTGTGGGTCTCCAGGGCCCAGTCAGCTGCTGGAGGCAGGCACCAGGATGAGCTTCTGAGCTAGATGCTCAGCCTAAACCTTCAGGACCTGAGACAGAGCCATGAGCTATCAAGAAAAGATGGTCACAGGCTAGGGATTTAGCTCAGTGGTTCCACTGCCTGCCTCCAAAGTGCAAGGTCCCAAGTTCAATCCCTAGGAAGGAAGGAAGGAGAGAAAGATGGAAGGAAGGAAGGAGGGAAGGAAGGAAGGGAAGAAAGAAAGAAAGAAAGAAAGAAAGAAAGAAAGAAAGAAAGAAAGAGAGAGAGAGAGAGAGAGAGAGAGAAAGAAAGAAAGAAAGAAAGAAAGAAAGAAAGAAAGAAAGAAAGAAAGAAAGAAAGAAAGAAAGAAAAAAGATGGTCACCTAGCCATGCATAGCCCTGAGGCCTGGGCCTCCCTGTGACATAGTTGGGAGAAGTGAAAACCTGATTTTAATTACGATCACGCAAAGAAGATTGAAAGAGTCAAAAGGTAAGGCCTTTCCAGGAGAGGCAGGAGGACTGTAAGAAAGGAAAGCCCCTAATTTCATTACAGGCTGGGACTAGGTGTCTTTAAATAAGGTAGAGAAAGGTTACAGTAACGTGGACAAAAACATGTGAGATCTGTGCCAAGCGAATCTCAGTCTTCAGAATAACTTCATGTGGCATGTAGTGGTTGGGTCCCTGTTTCATAAATGAGAAACTGAAGCCTATAGCAGGTATGTCCCTTGTGCAAGGCTACTTTCCTAGAAGGGCTGCTCTGGATCCAAACATCTGTCGGAGTTCAATGAAGCCTTCTTTTGAGAACACTGGATCAGGCCACAGAACCAAGCTCCTTACTGTGTCCTTGACATCAATTGTAGGCCCCCTGCAGAGTCCTCTAACTTCCCCCACCCCATTTTCTCCTCCTGATGAGTACAAGTGGTTAGCAAATAGAGGATAAGGTGCTTTGAGATCATAAGTAAAATTCAAATCATAATGTCTTCTTTGGAGCAGGTTCAGCAGGACTCCAGTGAGTATCCAATCTCCAAGCAAGAAACAATAACACTAACACAGTAATTAAAATAACTCCAAACAATACCTTTCACACCAAGAGTTCTACAGTTGTCTTCGAAGTCCTTGGGGGAAGTCTGAGCATTGAACTGTTAAGATTGCTTAGTTGTCACAGAACTTTGCTCCCTGAATTGCTTAGAGCACAAAGCTATTTTTTACACTATTGGGGGGGGGGCTTATTAATCGTACTGTTTAAAAAAATCACTATAATAATTATTCTAACCCTGCCATCAGAGGTGTTATTTTGTTATCAGATTATACCAATTTATGCCTCTGAAAATTGTAGATCTCTTCAAAAAAATTAACAAAATGCACGCAGGACCAAACAGCCTCGTGGTTTCCTTGCAAGCAGACAGAAAACCTTACAGAGTGTTGCCAGCACAATCTTATCTCCAACAGCTGCTTAAGAGGCTGACCCCAAGGAGGTCAACATTTTTCCACTAAGTCATGCTTTTTAATCATCTAGGCAGAAGAAAAATGAGAGGTTGCAACTGCAATCCGACAGGGTGGGGAAGGCAGTGGAAAAAAGAACCAAGCTATACTTGCCAAGCACATGACAGGTAGTAAGGCCGCAGGCCAGCCTGGCATGCAGTTTGCCTGCAGAAACTGGTAGAGAATACAGAACCACTCCTTTTCCAAAAAGAAACCGCTCCTGGTTAAACCTGAAAGCTCAAAGTGTCCCTTCTCTCTGGACCCCAGAAAAGAAAAAAAAATGTCCTTCTCCCACCCATCTTCAACAAACACTCTTCTCCATGAGGGTCAGAAGGAAACATGGGGAGGCTCAAGAAACATTTTCCATCCCCACCCCAGCCGAGCAGGTCGAGAAGAATCCATCTGTGGCCGCAGTTTCCCCAGCCTGATCTCTCCTTTTGCCAGTACTGCTCTCTGCATATCTACCTGTCACTCGGAGCTTCCCAGGCTGACGGCTTGGATGTAAGTAACAGCACAAGTTCCCCACTTTTGCAAATAGAACGAAGTCTTGTCGATCACGCACCCCAAGAACATCCCTGTCCTGCAAGCCCCATGTAGGAACAGCAGGCATTCAACCTCTCAGAGGCAGCCTCAACCAGGTGGCCGGCAATCCCGGGAGCTCCCAACACTGTGGGGACTCACACAGATTCCTTTGCAAGGTCAAGGGGACTTCAGGGTGCTCCGAGAGGAAGAGGCTGTCTGTGAGGTGGAGTTTAGATGCCGGTGCACCAGAATTTTTGGCCATTGGAGATCAGCACTGTACCACAGAGTGTTCTACGGTCACAAAAATGTCCTCTGGGCTATCGAACACACCAATCATTAGTCCCATGTGGCTACTGAACCCTCGAAGTGCGGCCACATGTTAAAATTCTAAACATAAACTTGCATGTCACCGAGTAGGCATAAATGTAAATTTAATAAAAATGTACATGGATACCTGCGACTGCCATACTGCACAGGTGATTAGGTACAAGGAGGGCAAAAGCAGAACTGTCTGGGACAGGACGTCTGGATGGCTCAGCAATGCACGTGGTCTCAGAGCAGGGACTGCGGGCCGGCATGAGCTTCTGGAGAGGAACTGATGGACAGGCTTTTCTGCCTGAGCATGAAAGTTGCCAATGGGAACCAGTTCTCATTTCGTGCACAGAGAGGAACTGAAAGGCAACACCAGGGCTCCAAAGGCCCCAAATTTAGAGTTCTAGCTATCAGCTGTCTGCCTCTCAGCCAGGTGACCTAGACCTGGCTGCCTCTGGGTGGGGAGAGGAAAGAGGTGCCTGGCACCCCGTGTGGAAAATGTGAGCGATCCTGGCCAGAACCGCCCTCCCTTGTGTGCGTGTCCCTCAGCCATCATCTCTGACAAGCAAGCGGAGCTGGTCACGAAGCTGGCAGAAGGCTCGGCGAAGAGCTGAGGGATGCTAATAGGGAAAGCAGACACCAGCAGGTGGAGGAGATGAAAGGTGGCTAACTGGACACAAAAGGCTAATTACCAGCTCTGCAAGCTGAGACGCTGGCAGCGAGGATGATCTGCTCCTCACCGAGAAGGGGCAGAGGAGGGGAGTGCTGGGGGTGGGCAGGGCAGTAGGTGGGGAAAGAGGGCAGACAGCCTGAAAAAAACAGCCAGACTCACTCCCTGAGGACCAGGATACAAAACCACACAGCAAACTTCTCCCCTCTCCAGTTGCAG